TATCTGGAACCAAGACATTAGCAGCAGATCCCTGAAGGTGTCCTGTGGTATCTGGCACCAAGACATTAGCAGCAGATCCCTGAAGGTGTCCTGTGGTATCTGGCACCAAGACATTAGCAGCAGATCCCTGAAAGTGTCCTGTGGTATCTGGCACCAAGACATTAGCAGCAGATCCCTGAAAGTGTCCTGTGGTATCTGGCACCAAGACATTAGCAGCAGATCCCTGAAAGTGTCCTGTGGTATCTGGCACCAAGACATTAGCAGCAGATCCCTGAAAGTGTCCTGTGGTATCTGGCACCAAGACATTAGCAGCAGATCCCTGAAAGTGTCCTGTGATATCTGGAACCAAGACATTAGCAGCAGATCCTTTAAGTTCTGTAAGTTGCAAAGTGGAGCAGCCGTAGATCAGACATGTTAGTCAAGCACATCCCACAGATGCTCAGTTGGATGGAAATCTGGGGATTTGAAAGCCAGGGCAACACCTTAAACTCTTCATATTGGTCCTCAAACCATTCCAAAACAAGCTGTGCAACGAGGCAGGGCACAGTATCCTGCTGAAACCAGCCACTACCATCAAGGAATATTATTGCCATGAAGGGCTGTACCTGGTCTGCAATTCATGTTTATGTAGGTGGCACTTCTGAGATCGACATCCTTGTGAATACTCTGACCCAGGTTTTCCCAGAAGAAACATTGCACAGAACATTGTACTCCCTTTAAATGGCACAAACATACACAGATGTCCACATGATGTAAAGGAATCAGAACTCTGGGCACTGCCACACTGACCAATGGTTTTGTGGCCAGGCAGCCCAATACGCTGTGATTTCTGTCATCGGTTCGGACCTGAAAAGCCTTTGTTGCCGTCACCTTTGGGTACCCGGTCGAAGGTTTGTGGTTTGTCCCTTCTTGGGCTACTGCCACCACTGCTGACTGAGTACACCCCACAAGCCATGGCATGTCAGCGATGCCTGTCGTCTGGCCATAACAATTCGACCCGTGTCCAGGTTGCTTAGGTCTTTACTCCTGCCCATTTCTCATGCATCCAACACATTGAATAGGAGAACTGATTGTTCACGTACCATCTAATCTACTGAGACCTTGACATTCACCCTTGATAGGAGACGATCTATGTAATTTGTTTCACCTGCAAGTGGACACAACTTTTTGACTCATAAGTGTCTTTTTTTTTACAATATGAGGTTGTGATAACGCTGTTAAATTGTGAGAAGTATTGTCCTGTCCTTTTAATGTAATAAAGACTTCAGGAAATTCTTGCCTTCCTGGTGACATCACAAGGTGGTAAAGTGGTTAATAGACCAATATCAAAGACATAGCTTGTTTGCCCCGCCCCACTCAGACCACTCCCAGCCCTAAGCCCCGCCCCACTCAGACCACTCCCAGCCCTAAGCAAAGTCATTACATGAGAGAAGACATTTTTGAGAGAAGACAAATCTCTCCACTGGGCTGTTAAACCACAGCTGGGAACACACAAAGGCCCACAAAGAAAACCCCCCAAAATAGGCAAACGATAACATTAAAATAAGGCTAGCTGTTCCTCAGGCATTACCTGTGTCTAAAGCCATATAATAATGTGCAAATTATGTGTATCCAAGAATTCGTGAAGGAGGCTCAGCAAACTCACTTGCCACAATTGTAGAGGTCACAGCAGTAGCAAGTATTTGATTTCACACGTAGGTTACAGGTTGCGCGTGACACTGTCTGGCAGGTAACCTAGAATTCAGACAGTTAGTATTAGTGTACACTTGTGCATGCAGGTCTATGGATGTTTATCATAAGACAATGCTTAAACTGCTTTGAGGCAACCGTAGGGTCATGAGGCAAAGTTCAAGCAATGTTAAGGCAACCTTTCAAACTGTGTTGATATGAGGAAAACACTCATCAGAAAGTAATCGTGCTCACTCACGTCTTCATAACCCTGAGAGGATTTTGTACTGGTGTAGAAATCACAGCGCCCGGCGTAGTAGGGCCTGAGGTCCTGAGGGCATAACATATTATAATCATACACACAGTTGATCTACTGGGTAGGTTTCAACACACTATAAGGAAGTTAACAATAGCATCAACCTCACATGCAGAATATGCTGCATCAACGTATGGAAATTAGCCTTAAATACAGTAGTTACTCTGTTGATACTGAGGTAAACCTAAATAAGCAAATAGGCACCGATGTGCGTGGTACATTTCCAATATAACGCGATTAATGGCTGGGTTATAAGACAGATACAGCCTAAGGTGTGGTATATTGTCCCCCTGATAAAAACAGGTTATTAACGCAATATGTTAAAACATGTTATGTTATAGCATTGAGGCATCATAGAACATTGTGGTATATTGCCGGTATGCAACAGCTAAGCACTGGTTTCAGGCACTTTGCAATGCATTGTTAGGCATGGTATATTAGCCATATACAACCTCCTCCTCTCCCCTTATTGCTTACATATACAATGGTTACCAGCCTATTGGCATTCAGAGTTTATAACTCCCGTTCCATAATTAATAATCACATAATGTTCACATTTTCTATTAAATAAATTACCATGTGTCATAACACCAAAAGATAGTTTCCACATGACATAAGAACTGTGCCTCTAACTTAGCTGCTTAAAGCGTGGCTTATTCAACAGGCTTCGTAGCGGTACTCACAATGTGTCTAGCTGCAAACACACCGTCCACGATAGCACAGCAGAAGGCAGCCACCACTCCAAAACTGATAAACACAATGGACGCCACTAACTGTAAGAGATGAAAATAGTGGTGACATAAGCAGAGTGGCAAGATACGCACAATGATATCCATCATTCCTTTGGTTGAATCAAGATGACTTTCCCAAGCCAAGAAAAATATATATTCTGTTGGTTGTTCCGCATCAAATGCCGTACAAGTGCTGTACAAATGCATCCAATGTTGGCAAATGTACTGGAAGCAGCAGCTTCTAATACATCTGTGGCCAAAGTATTGGCACTCTGGCAATTTCTTTAAAATACTGGCACTCTCTAAAAATAGCTGGGAATTGTCCAAAGTTTATATTTAACATTACATCAAATTTGTTTTAAGTGCAGCACCTGAAATATCACTTTAAATCAGAAAAAACAGGAATGTCATTGACAAAATTATTGGCACCCTAGATTAAATATTTGGTAGTACAACCTTTGGACAAAAGACCTACAATCAAATGCTTCCTGCACCTGCTGGTTTGGCCCACTATTCTAGTGCAAACTGCACCAAACTTCACCCATATCTGAAGGATGGCGTACAACATTTTTAATACTGATCTGTCTACAGTGTTTTTTTTATGAAATGTAGTTCTGGATTCATTGCTGAAGTTTGAACCATTCCTGGGTGTGTTTTAAAGTGTGTTTAGGGTAACAGACTTTCTGTACTACCCATGACCTTTGACGGATACCCAACTTTATGCCCCCGTAAAAAATTACTTGAGACTCTCCTGATTGTGCTTTAAATGTGTGCATAGAATCATGCAGAGTGCCAGACGCAGCAAAGCAACCCCAAAACATCACTGAAGTGTATAACCTTGGAGGAAGTCTTGGAGGAAGACTTCATTATGCTTTCTGTAAACACAGACATGTGTTCTTTACAGACCAATTTTGGTCTCCTATCCACTGATTTTGGCATGTTCTGGTTTGTATTGGCAGATTTCAGTCTGGCTTTCTCATGTCTCTCAACAGCGAGGTCCCCCTGGGTCTTCTCCCATACACTCGGTTGGTGACAGATTATGTCAAATTTGAGTCAAAACTCAAAAGATTTTGTACCATGTGCCTGAAAGTCAGTATATATCTCTGGGCAGTGGACCAAAGGTTCTTTTACCACAATTCAAACAATCTTTTGCTGACATCTTTTATGAGGGTGTCTCTCTTCAATCGGTTGGCCACACTGGCATGGGCCTTAAAGTGCTTGATACCATTAGGTACGGTGGAAAAAGAACAGCAAGCGCTCTGGAGATGGACTTGACAATTATTTCCCACTTCTTCTACAAAGGGAAAATAATATTATTCAAATCATTTTAGGATTTATTGGAGGAAAAGGGAAGTTTTAGTCAATTATTTTGCAGTTATGAAAAATAAATCAAAATTATTTAAATTTAGTGCATGAGTACCAAGAGTACTTTTGACCCTGACTGTATGCATGTGTCTGTGTGTTTGTGCAATCCTATATGATGATCTGAGGAAAGCCTCGTGGGCAGTTCCTCATGTGTCTGTGTGAGTGGGCAGTTCCTCATGTGCCTGTGTGAGTGGGCAGTTCCTCATGTGCCTGTGTGAGTGGGCAGTTCCTCATGTGCCTGTGTGAGTGGGCAGTTCCTCATGTGCCTGTGTGAGTGGGCAGTTCCTCATGTGCCTGTGTGAGTGGGCAGTTCCTCATGTGTCTGTGTGAGTGGGCAGTTCCTCATGTGTCTGTGTGAGTGGGCAGTTCCTCATGTGCCTGTGTGAGTGGGCAGTTCCTCATGTGCCTGTGTGAGTGGGCAGTTCCTCATGTGCCTGTGTGAGTGGGCAGTTCCTCATGTGTCTGTGTGAGTGGGCAGTTCCTCATGGTCTGCAGTTCCTTCATGTGCCTGTGTGAGTGGGCAGTTCCTCATGTGTCTGTGTGAGTGGGCAGTTCCTCATGTGTCTGTGTGAGTGGGCAGTTCCTCATGTGTCTGTGTGAGTGGGCAGTTCCTCATGTGCCTGTGTGAGTGGGCAGTTCCTCATGTGCCTGTGTGAGTGGGCAGTTCCTCATGTGTCTGTGTGAGTGGGCAGTAACAGGGGGGCAACCTTTTCAAATGGTTATAGGCTCACTGTAAATTCTGTATTGTTGAATAAATTAACCGAACGAGATCTTATGTGTATAGACTTTTAATTTCATAACGAGCTATAGAAATTCAAAATGAAATGAATTCTGGGGAACCCTGAACCATGTTTTTTTGTAACCTTTCTTTAACCAGGTAGGCCGATTGAGAACAAATTCTCATTAACAACGATGTCCTAGGAAGAAGCTGGGCATTGAACCCAGGAAATCATACATACGTTCAAAGCATGAACTTTACCACTGAGCTACCAATTTATGTGGACATCAATTTGTAACCTACCTGAACATCTTTGCAGACTAGGTACAAACGTTCATGGTTCCAGATACCACAGGACACCTTCAGGGATCTACTGCTAATGTCTTGGTTCTACATACCACAGAACACTTTCAGGGATCTGCTGCTAATGTCTTGGTTCCAGATACCACAGGACACCTTCAGGGATCTACTGCTAATGTCTTGGTTCCAGATACCATAGGACACCTTCAGGGATCTACTGCTAATGTCTTGGTTCCAGATACCACAGGACTACCTTCAGGGATCTACTGCTAATGTCTTGGTTCCAGATACCACGGGACTCCTTCAGGGATCTACTGCTAATGTCTTGGTTCCAGTTACCACAGGACTCCTTCAGGGATCTGCTGCTAATGTCTTGGTTCCAGATACCACAGGACACCTTCAGGGATCTACTGCTAATGTCTTGGTTCCAGATACCACTGGACTCCTTCAGGGATCTACTGCTAATGTCTTGGTTCCAGATACCACAGGACACCATGCCCAGACGTTTTTATGAAATCATACATTGAATGAGTGTGAATTGGAAATATAGCAAAAATAAATATTAAACAGAATCATATATACGGTTATATATTTTATTTGAAATAACAATTGTGTCCTTCAAACTTTGCTTTTGTCATTTGCTGCAATTACATGCAGTGCTTTGGCATTATAGTTGTCAATTTGTTATTTGTAATCCTTCACCCCATGCTTCCTGAAGCACATGCCACAAGTTGGATTGGCTTGATGGGCACTTACAGTCAAGCTGGCCACAAACCAGCTCAATAGGGTTGAGATCTGGTCACTGTGCTCCATTATAGACAGGATAACAGCTCACTGATTCTCTTTCACTAAATAGTATTTGCATAGTTTGACGCTGTCTTTTGGGTCATAGTCCTGTTCTAGGTGGATATTGGCATTGCCATCCTGGAGTTGCCTCTTCACTGTTTGCGTTGAGATTGGTGTTTTTTCTGGGACTATTAAATGAAGTTGCCAGTTGAGGATCTGTAAAATGTCTGTTCCTCAGAATCAACACAAACGTATTTGACCTCGTGCTCAGTCGTGCACCGGGGACCTCTCATAACTATTTATATTCTAGTTAGAGCCAGACTGCGCTGTTCTGTGAATGTTGCACACAGCGTTGTACGAGATCTTCCGTTTTTTTTACAATTTCTCGCATGAACTAGCCCAATTCTCAGAACAAGAATGGACTGAGAAGTTTCAGAAGAAAAGGTTTTTGTTATTGGACATTTTGAGCCTGTAATCAAAACCTTCTTTAATTGACACAATTGCTGATGCTCCAGATACTGTTTTCAGCTGTGCTAACATAATTGCAAAAGTGTTTTATAATGATCAATTAGCCTTTTAACAGATAAACGTATCACACAATGTGCCATTGGAACACAGGGGTGATGGTTGCTAATAATGGGCCTCTGTACGCCTGTGAACATATTCCATTGATACACAGCAGTTTGCAGCTAACAATTAGCAATGTCTACATTGTCAGACATTTCTGATCAATTTGATGTTATTTTAATGGAAAAGAAAACGTGCTTTTCTTTTGAAAACAAAGACATTTCTAAGTGACCCCAAACTTTTTAACAATCAGGTTTGTTGTATTAATGTGTGTGTGTGGGTGGGGTGGGGGTTGTGATTTCTGGTTTACTGTTAGCGATTAGCTGCTTGTCCAGCAGCTGCTGTGTGTACAGGTGGTTTCACATTACTCCCTCATTTTTCACATCTATGACGCCTGTGCTGCTCCAACATGAGTGTCGTCTGCAGTCTGCAATGCCCTCAATGTACATTCCAACATGAACATCAATCTTTCTCTTCTTACGCAAATCTATTCAGGGGTGTAGAAGCCCTGGTGTACGTGTTCAGAATAAGCCTTAGGATACATCTCCAATAAAACCCCCTGGGAGACATCAGTGAATTGTTGCCAGAGAATGTCCATGTGTTTGTGCGCCCATTTAAAAAAACTACAGTTGAATTGCCTATAGAAAATGTGCAACCTTTTGTGATTATTAAAAATGTTTCATGTGAAATGCCTTCGAAGTAGGATTTGTTTTTATAAACTACACTCCTTGCACTCGATTATTAATATTATCATTGTTGTTAATTCAATTCTATATCAAAAATAAAATACTGAAATATAATACTTATTTGTCTGCCTCCTTTGTGACATTCTAGTGACTTACACTGTTTAGGGTAACTTCACAAGTTTTTGTGGGAACCCGCTGTTTAGTATTGAATTACGCAATCAGCAAAAGACAATGGCCCAAAGCATAGAACCCAAGCTGCAGCTTAGTAGCTAAAGAATAAAACGTTTGGCATGTAATACCACAAATGCTCTGTACGTTTAGTGGCTCTGACTAAGTAAATTTCAACAGACCCTAAAGAAACAAAATACTTGTGGTATGACTCGACATTAAGATTCCAGTTGGAATCACAGGGGGACATGTCATATGGACTGTGGGGCCTCTGTGTCACAGCATTGGTGAAGGTTAAAGATGGGTATTGAACACAGCTCTCCGGCTGGGAGTCAGATATGAGCACGGAGGCTGAATATGTATATAAGTAATGTCATCTCTTACCATTTGCCTCTTATTTTCTATCAAATGAGCTCCAATGATTCCGAGAAACGAGCCAAAGCCCAGCTGAAACGAGAACAGGTTGTTATTAGGATCACAATTATAAAATTAGGCTTAATGGGGTGTGACATATTCATGTAATACTGAAAATAAACAGCAAAACAAAAAATGGACATCAGTCATTCTATGAATTCAGGTTCAGTAAATGGCCCAAATTAAATTGTATTTTATATAGTTGTCATTGAAATATCAATGTCGCACAACTGACCTACTTAGACGTCATGCTGTGTTAACTGTATATTGACTCTCCCACTGCTATTTGCACTCTTGTATTTTGAGTATTTATTGTGTAAAATTATGTTGTCTTGCACATTCTTGCTTTATCTTGACCAGGTCGCCATTGCAAATGAGACTTTGTTCTCAATCGTACTACCTGGTTAAATAAAGGCCCATAGGTGGGTATCCATGGTGGGTGGTGCGGATCACTGGGTAATCTCTATGTAGTCATAAACTACAAACTGTCCCAAATCTATTGACAATATCCAGATGTTTCTCAAGGTTAATCAAAATCTAGCCTATTATTGTATCTGAAATGTGATTCACTAGTCCTTCAGAAGAATGATCATATATTATTTATTCTTAGAAACACGTCATCCTGTATGTTGTGTACAGTATGAACAAATTGTTCAGGAGCTTCTTGTTTGTAACGTGTTATAAGTTTGGACTCATTTTGCCATAGTTGAGTGACTCCTTAACTTTGTTGGACGTTTGCCATCACTGGTCAAAGTAGTATGTGTTAATTAAATAGGTACTTGACTTTGAGCATCTACACATTCAATTTGACGCATGCATTGGATTGAACCGAATACACTGCAATCGGCAAGACAAATTATGCATTCCACCGGAAATTAATGTATGTAAAGTGTACCAAAATGCGTGATTCATCATTGTTTGGGGATTCAAAAGAGACATCAAAATCTTCCCACAGTTCCCAACTAACACAGCTCTTGTAAGCGTTCTCTAGTCATTATTTAAAATTCTAAAAGGGTATGGAAGCCAAGGCTAGAGACTAAAATGTGGACATACGCATTGCAGTGTATTGGGGCATTTCGGGATATGGGTGTTAGAATAACATTCCTCGTGGACGGTGAGAAGCGTAGCTGTTTCACAACAGGCCAATATATACCCTGATGATTTAGGCTTAACACAGACGGATCATAGACGTTCACTTACAATTAGACCTGGGTAGTAGCCTCCAACTGTAATGTTATGTGTCCTGGTGGTGGCTGACAATCCAAAGATGAGGATGAGCATGGACACAATGAGCAACATCACCAGGACCACAATGGACTTCTTTTTCCTCCTCTTAAACGATCCTGGAAGACACACATCTTATTTTTATAACCAGCTACACACATTCAATATTGCTTAAACATATCTCAACAGTTTTTACATTGTACTTGAAAGGGTTTTGAAAACCAATCCTGAATATGGATCTATAGGATCATGTGAAATTAATTATATGATACACAGAATAAACAGGGACATATTTAGGCTTGTTTGAGACATTTCAAGAACTAGCTGTTATTTTATAAAAACTCCTGGTTGTCCATTTACAATGATCTACATAACTACATGTCAACGAGGAAGGATTCCAGATCCTTATCAAGGTGTACTTGTCAGGATCTGCCATGCAGATCAAAAGGAGTAGACACAATCGCAGAGAAGCTTTTCCAAAAAAGTGTTTTTATTCTCATCCAGGCAGGACAGGCACTAGAAACGAGAACTTAAACAAACAGAAACAACTAATGAAAATCACCCTCCCTAAAGTTTCCCCCAGATCCCACAACATTAATATGAACAAACATAAACCCGCATTAAACACAGAACCAGAAAACCAAAAACCCACATACCTTAAACAATGATCCGCACAGACTAACAAACAAGGACTAACTTAAATACCTGCACTAACAATGACAACACACAACAGGTGAGAGAGAAACACAGGTGGTTCCAATGTCCCTGATTGTTCCCTCTCAGGAAATGGGGGAGGTGTCAGCCCCACCATAGAATGGAGGGACAGGACTCTGTCCCTTACAGAATCCCCCACCAAGGGCGCGGCTCCTGAAGCGCCTAAAAACACAAGAGCAGATATAACCCATGAGCTGGACATGGGCAGGACGGAGAGACAGGTCTTGGGCAGGACAGAGGCTGACAGACCAGGAGGCTGCCCGGTCTGGTGGATGCAAGTCAGGAGACCGGACCGGCGGAGACGGATCAGGAGACCGGACAGGCGACGACGGCGGATCAGGTGGTCGACCCGGCGGGAGCAGGTCTGGAGGCCGGACAGGCAGAGACGGGTCAGGGGGTCTACCCGGCGGGAGGGGGTC